TTGAGAAACCAGGGATTAAACTCAGGCCCTTGTCCTTGCCAGGCAAGTGCTTATTCTACTGAGCTATCTCCCCAGCCCCTGTTATTTTATTTTATTTTTTTTTAATTTTATTTATTTGTGTGTGTGTGTGTGTGTGTGGCCAGCTCAGCCCACCAGGGGGCGGGGCTGGCTGGCATGTGGTGCTGGGGGATTGAACCGTGGTCCCTGTGCTTCGCTAAGTTTGTTCTAAGTAGGTGCTTTAGACCACTGAGCCATCTCACCAGCCCATTTTGCTGTTAATTTCTGACTGGCATAAATCTTTATAATTGTTTTAGACACATCCTTGCTGTGTTAAGTCTTACAGAGTGAGAAATCCCAGAAATGCTGTTAGAAGAAAAGGTTTGAGCAGGTGACAGAATGTGTGGACCAACCTAGAGGCTACACTTGAAGTAAAGGGGCACAAAGTTGCCAGTAGTCCTAAAACAAAACAAAATACAAAAACTATTAAGTAAAAGGTTTTTATTCCTTCTAAATTATTATGAGATCTATGTTAACTGACCTACAAGAAATTTTAACCTATTTAAATTATGAACAAAACACTTTTAAGAGTCATTATAATTCCATTTGCTCAAAATATGAATGCTTTCTGATTTTATAAAGATTGTCTTATATGTATTTGTCTGTCTGTCCAATCTGTAAACAGCTGTTTTACTTGAGTTCAAATTTTTCTTTTTCCATTTTTGAAACATTTGTCTGGAATTTAAGTTGCTTATAGGCAAATGTTATTACAATTAAAGACATGCTTCCACCCAGGTTGCCGATGCATCGAAATGACATTAAGATTGGCTTTATAAATATAATGCATGTTGTTGTTTGCATATAACTTGGGAATCTTTCACTGGTCAAAAAATAATGTGTTCATTGTTATGATTGGGTTCTCACTGATTATTAAAAATTTGTTAAGATAATTCAACAGAAATCCCTTAGGTTAGGAAGCAACTGATGGGCATGTCTTCCTTTGGTGAAGAAGGAAGCAGCTGCCTGGCAGTA